CGAAGAACTGACACCTCCCAGCGCAAAGCAAAGAAGAAACGAACGGCGAAAGGCAGGGTAGACAGGAGGCCATTCCTATAAACAAGAAGTGATGAAGATCCCTCATCACTTCTGCGTGTACAATAAGCATATTTTGTCTTTTCTTTCTGAACCAATACAAGACACTGTTGCTAGCATTTGTGTATAAATCATTCCTAAGCATGAAACTCCGGTGCTTCGCTTGAGACCAGTCTAAGTCGTTAGGACTAGTAATAGCCATGGATGTCCCTGTAAGGCGAAAGGAATACAACAGAGGGTCTGTGATCTCCTCCGCCACACTGCAGCCGGCGTTCATCACGAAATAAACCAAACTATCACACCCTGCACGCTTTCATATCAATCATCGGTGTTGTCCTCTCTGAGATGGTGACAAATACAAAAGACCATCTCAACGGAGAGCTAAAAGTGGCATTCACACAACAACACTGCAGGCACCACTAGGGAACGAATGAATAATCAGCGCATGACCAGAGCTGTACTAAATTGTGAACATGCGCTTACACCTTCACTGTGGGAATGGCAGACCTGGAGACTAGGCCCCTGCTCTTGTTTCAGCATCTTTATCAGACTGGTTGTAGGCCACAGTGACGGTCCCAGGATGCAATATGACATTGTAGCCCATGCCTTCTACTCAAATTAAGATGACAAAGCCCATACTGTGACCTGACAGCTCCTTGAGCTATGGCTACTCAGATCAAAATATGAACTTTTTTTTTTTGTTGTAACCTACAGACTTCTCTGGAAATGTCTCCATGTTTCATATCAGAGCATCTGCAATAACCTGCTCTACTGATGCGAACCAAGTTCAGCTGTGAGGTGCCCACTGGTTTTCTGGGTACTCTTAGTGGGGCCAGTTTTCTGCTTGCACTGGCTATTGACTACACTTCCAAATTTGCTGGGTGGGCTTTTACTTAATCAGATCCTTCTTCCACTGGGATCAAACTGTGTTAGTCCTACATACAATTGCATTTGATGTCTACTTCAAAATAATCAAACGTGACAAGGAAGGAAAGGTGACGACTTACTTCCCAGAGATGCTGAGTGTTCCTGATGGCTCCTGCTTGAACCTTCTCCGGCAAGAGGAGGACTCCCTGAAAAGGCCCTATCCAGGTGCCCTGCTGGATCCGCTGCGCCGCACAAATGCCATAGGCCAGGCCGGGCACCGTGCTAGTGCACAGACACACTTCCCGGGGCAGGTCGCGGAGCCACTCAGGGATCTCAGGTGGAGGGGCTGCTGCGGCAGCGCTGCTGGTGCCCACGAGACGGCGCAGGGAGTGGAGGGGCCCGTGCATGGGGCACTCGCCGTTGCGGTTGTCGGCACACATGTCACATCCTGGCAGGCAAAGAGGAAAAAGCACTATTAATGTGGTGCTGCCAGCTACCACCACGATCGCTACCCCAAGCAAGATCTCCTGGATTCCTCTGCTTTTCCCGTCACTTAATGGCAGCCCGATACACGTACACACCATGCCCTTTTCTATGTCGCTTCGGCCACTTTTCCTAACCTTACCAAAGCCCTTAATAAGAAATCTCAAAGGCTCCGCAGAAACCCTGCAGACATTTTGCAAGCCCAGTGCGTTCACAGACCTGCCAAGGCTCATTTATTGTGACACAGTTTTTAAGATTAATTTTTTGACTAATAAAAAGCCCATTTAAACCGTCTCACTCTTGTGATGAAGGGTTTTGTAATGTGTTTCAATGAGGCATTTTAAATCACACTCGTAATTTCTTACAAGTCTCCCTCATTTGGCTTACCACAGCTCAGCCCAAGGGTTTAACTGGAATGGGATTTAATTCGATCCTTATTCTGAAGCAACATCCACTCTACTTTACACATTAACATGTGTGTGCACGCATGTCTATCTAGAAAATAAAATAAATAAGAGAGACCCTCATGACTGACAAATTGGAACATTTACGCATGTTTGCTTGCTCATAACCTAATCTAATCTGGAAATTGCAACTAGGTGCCAAATATTCCACATCTGTAGCACATCTTTGAAATGTCTTTTTTTATTGAGCCGGGATACATGTCCTTTGCCTGTTACATGTGGCGGAGGCTAAGAACAAAAACAGCATGTCTGGTTTTGTGAACAGCTCCCATGAAAAAGACCAGTGTGCAGAAACGTTAATTTCCCTAACTGCTGTTATTAATGGATGATGTTTCTCTATTTTGGGAAGATCCAACTGTGCTTTTTCTTTTATGAGCAAAGGAAATATTGGAAGAGTGTTTCCATTACACACTATTGCACATACCATGAATGCGCAACTTCCAGGAAAATGTTTCACGCTCAGGAAACCCATTTCTCTGGAGGTAGGCTGAGTTAATATAACAATAAATCTATTGAAATAGGTTACTGTCTTCTGCACATTTCACATCTTGACCCACAATAAAGGTTTTCATATAAATCTGTTCCAGAAATACAAACAAAGGAAAAACAATAACTATACCGTAGTATTCACGCAGCAATTCACAGATCTTTCCCCTAATAATTTTACACTACCTACACCCATTCTTATAAAAATAAAGCAAAGTATTCACTATAGAGGCTGGAGCTTAGCGGTCTAAGCCACAGATTTAGCCTTGCTAGATTGCCTGTAACCACAGGTTCAAATCTCAGCAGGACTGACTCAGCTTTTCCTCTTTCCAAGGTAGATGTACTGAGGAGCTCCATGCAATTTATTATGTAGGCCTCTTTCCTATGGAGCCTTCAGAAGAAAACCTGCCTCTCTATTCAGCACAGATGGTAAAAACTGCATTTCCAAAACATGGCCTCTATTCTCAAATTTTCGGACACGCTTTCTAAGCGCTGTCACCAGCCGTTCTCATTGAAATCGTACCATAGGAAAACGATGAGCTCAGAGATACGCAGAGAGCTAGGAAGCTCCACGCAGAGGCTGGTTTCCCTAGAAATCCTCCCGCCTTTCCTCATGCCTCTCGGGAGAACACCCGCGTCCCTCACCACCGCCTTCTGCGCTCTTGACGGTCTCTAGAAAGCAGCACGGCAAGCGAGCCCGGAGGCGCGCGCCGCTCTGATGGGTGCCCCCCAAGCAGAAGGGCTGCCCACGAAACGCCCTTTCACCCCATGCGAGCCCTAAGGTGTCCCGCAGCGGCAGGGCAAGGGCAGAGGGACGAGCCCTTTGCCAGTTCTGCAACCCAACACCGGCGCAGCTCCGCGGACAAAGGCCCCTAGCGGGGACCGCTGCTTACATTGGCAAGAAGCTACCTGTTGGCTGCACACGGTTAAAGCCTTCCCTGAACAATATAATCCCCACCGCAAAACGGCCCTTTTGTTGGGTTAAGCCGCGAGTCGCGGAGGGGTTTCGCTCGCTTAGCCACGTCAATCAGAGGGGGCTAGAGAGGGAGATTTGCGGGACCCCGGGGGAAAGGTTTCTGACTAGTCCTGATAGACGTTTCTGATGCAGCAAATATTCCTACGGCCGTGAGGCGAAACAACGGACAGCAAGTACCTGCTTGGGGGGGGGGGGGGTTACTGTTGCTGTTGTTGTTGTTTCTGCAGCTAGTCTGGAAAGTGAAGTATCCCCACAACGTCTTGTCTTTCCTCTCCGAACCCAGTGATCAGGAAACCCTGCGTTTTTGGCATATCCAAAGAGCTCATGGGCTGCACTGGAGTTTGGCATGCACATCACACGGGACAGGATCCCAAAGAGGAAAAAAAGAAACAAATTGGCACGCAAGTACGCTTTAAACAAATCCGGCATCTCGCCGCGCAACTGCGAAAGAAAACATTGGACAGGAAAAGTGAGGGTTGAAAGAGAGGATGGCTAACCATGATCTCAATTAGCACCCCGGGGCAGGCCCTTGAGCGCGACCTGTTTGCACTCTGCCTGACGATCTTTTAGATGCGTAACTCTCCTCCCAACTGCCTGATTATTAATGGCTTGCTTGGAGACACCGTGTCTCTGGAGCCACTGAAATTAAACATGCCAAGGCATCTTCACGGCTCCATCCAGGCAGTTGCAGGGCATCCCGCCGCCAGATAGGCATAATTTTTCACCCGCCCAGCTTTTTAGTACCTGCCCAGAACGCGGATTTCTTCGCTTCATCCTAACGATACGTGTGCGCGAGCGCGGGCACATCGTTGTAGTTCGACCTCTTTAAGGGAAA